CTTTGTCGTTGCCTGCTCCTTCGTCTAAGGTAGTGAGTTTCTATTCCTGGATCTCATAATAGCGTGTTACTTGGAAGGTTTCTGGAGCTTGTTCGAAGTTCGTTATTAGAATGGTCACAAATGTTTAATCGATGCATGCTAAGGATTCTTGACATGTCTTCGAAGCAATTTTCCAAAAAGTGTCCTCAAACTGTTCCCTTTCACACTTCATTTCTATGTTTTCTTCAGAATTGTCCTGTCCCGGAGTCTCATGTTGATCTAAATGTGTAGTAAACAATGTGAGACTCCAAATATTTATTGCAAAAGACTCAAAACTTTTTACAAAAGGAATTGCAAAAAGTTTAGAGTCTTTTGCAATAAATATTTGGAGTCTCACATTGTTTATTACACATTAAGATCTATTTTTTCTCTTATGTTGAACTCACCACGATGACTTATGATCGGTCCCGAGAAAGTTTTTCTTCTAAATGTGTGGGAAGAATAGTAAATAGCGTGAATTCGCTGTGCTCAATGGTAGCAGCAAACTCGCCGTATATCAGGAAACTTTCAATGCTTCCCATTATTGTTTTGGACTTGTTGAGAGGCTTGAAGCGAAGGATTATAATCATGTAATCATATTCTAAGCATAGCACATTTTCTGCTCTGTGTCTTTCAAAACTGGCGCTCTATGCAAAGCTTCATTGTGTTTTTGAAAAAAAAAACCTCAGAAAAAATCTGAGTACAGAGTCTTTCTCTGTAAAAACTTTCCACGTAGCACATGGACATGTGATTATGCCTTAAACTCTGATGTCGTATTGGCTTTTTGATATTTTTAATATCAACTTATGCCAGTATTGAGTCTGCGCTTACGACTTGCTTGCAGCGGGAAACTGTGTGTACGATAAAGATTGAAAAATGTCGTGGCGAAGTCGAATTTTGCGAGTGGTCTGGGTGATACTGGCGCAGTGTGACTTCCCGGGGGGAGGGGGCCGTAACCTTGTTCAGATTCATGAGTCGCACAGGTTTCGGACTAAGCCTTGAAGGAGAAAGGGAACCCGAGATGAGTGTGAAATTCTCATTATTTTCGTAGTTCATACGGCGCCGATAAGCTTAGTCCTAGTGGTCTTTCTAGAGATTGCACCCCACCTCGGAGGCACATTGCGTCTCGATGCTTTTTGGATCTACTATTTAGTTTCAAGTTTCTGTAGAAGAATTGGGATTCTTCAGATTCTTCAAATTTGTTAAAGGTTACTCCAATCAAGGATGTCGTCACTGAGTTCAAAACTCCTGACTCTCTGCAAACGGCCGCAAGTCGCGGTACTAACCACGGAGGTCTGCTTTCATCAAATTTTGCCTTCAAAGGAATAAATGGTAAGTCTCTCATTCAATTTTAGAACTACAAAATTAATTTGTGTGTGACAACAATTACATATGCAATTGCTAGGACACTTTTCATGGTCCTATAAGGCATGTGTTCTGCCCTTTGAAGGTGAAAGCTCTTGTCAGTGATTATTGCGTTTCAGTGTCATCACGGCGTTTGGCTCATACCGACGTCAAATTTCCGGACTTTTCTAACTATCGTAGAGAGGTTACATTAGATACGCAGAAAGCTGCACGTGATACCGAAGATCAGCGGCGTTCGCTTGCCCATGCTGTTTATTACGGAGGTATGCTTAGCAGAAGTGTTTCGCAGTAGAGAAACAGTTTGATTTTTATTTAGCTGGCGGTGTGATGTTCTCTCGCTGCGAAGAATTAAGCTTCAAGTTCGGTCTTATTCAAGGTATGTTACTCCGTTTATTTAGTCTAACTGCTTAACACTTTCATTAACGCAGTAAGCTGTAGTCTCTTTCTTAGGCCATGGCTGCTGATCAGCGTGCTTTGGCCTCGATTGAGGTGAATCTGGATGAGATCCCAGAAGGCGTAACGAAGACGTACGAATGGCGTGGAAAGCCTGTTTTCATTAAGCATCGAACAAAGGCCGAGATCGCAAGGTGTGGACTGGCTTGAATAGTGTTAAGTTGAAAATCCCTTCACCTATGCACTGTGCACCGTAGCTACGTGCACTAACCAGGATGAGTTTTGTTGCCTTAAAAGTGTTTTTGTTTATTACCCATCTAGGTCTCTAGTTCATGTCTAACATGATTTTGAAACCGGTTGCTATAATAAAAAGCTTGCACTGTTCTCAAGTTTGAGAGACAAGTGGATTGCTACAGTAAACAGGTAATGTGTACCTAGTTCGTCGGCTGCTTTTGTTATCAACAACCTCTCGCATCTTTCTTTCTTTCTTCTGGTGCTAATTCATGATGGAACTGTGAACAGCCTGTTGGCAGAGCTAGGAAAATCTGTTTTTTTTTCTCGAAGTAAAACGGTAAGGATTCAGTGATTGATTACAGTTCGTTCACTGCAGTTGATAGGGGTATCGACATATTTTGTAAAGACGATTCTCGCGGAATTTGGGGGCGAAGTTCACTAACAATAATTCATTGTGTACATTTTTCTTACCTCCATGTGTTTGGATTTCTCAACCTCACGCTACGGATGAAATCCATTTTCAACAATTTTTACCTGAATTCTTCTCTTAAAAAGGCAGTGAGCACGTTACTTGGAAGGGCGGGACGTCGGATTTGCCATGACGCCTTGGACGTCACTGGTGACTGGAATCTTGTTAGCGTAAGCGGGATCTGATGAGATCACCATAGGCTTTCAATGACGCCATCAAAAACCGCTCCCTCTTTTTCTGTTCTTAGTTTCCGCTGCTTTCTGGAGGAGCGAGCGCTTCGAGTGTGCGGGAGGGTGCAGGCAAAAATCGTTCAGACAGACTTTTTTATTCGCTTTTTGCTATAACTCATTATCTTCGGTAGTTAGGAGAAGGAATTTCAAGCAACTTTCATATAGCTCTGTATTTGTCAGGAACAACAGGACGAGGTAAGGGTCGTATTCTGTGGTCAGGGGATGGAGATTAATGTCTCAAGCAGGCATCTTGTTCTGAAAGTATAGAATAGTGTATTAGCAGGAAGGAGATTAATCATTCGGGTGATTTTTGCGGAGATTTTGAATGCTAATTTGTTGTTTCAGGTAGGGATTAATTAAATGGCGCCTTAGATTTTACCGGTTTCAGCAGTCGTATGATATCTGGCCTGATTGACCGTTATCATCAGTCAAGAGTTATCCATTCTAGGGCGGATTTTGGAGCATGAATTATGTGATAGGAACCCGATTCAACAATTACAGAAATGGATCCATGAATTCTGCGAGATGGATTCGGGAAGGGGTGGCGTCGTAAAAGTCATGAAATTGGTGCAGCGCGACCGACCCTGATAAGATGACTCGGAATTTGTAGATAAATTTCCACACTTGAAAAGTTTCCTGTTTCAGCTATGCTATAATAGTTAACGTGCCGAACAGTTCGCTCCTAGTTACGATGGCAAATTAAGGCTCATCCGATTCGTAGATTTGGTAGTTCAGTGTGTTTTTCATGTCCAGCAAGGTAGAGAAACCTTTGCTTCCGTCTGCATTGACGCCCAACGTGGAAACTTTTTTTCAACAGGAGGTCGGAGTAACGACCCTTTCAAGCGGTTTGGAATGGGTAAAACTCCAGTTGATAACGTGGAAACATGTGTCCGTGTCCGTGTGTATATGTGTGTGTCTTGAAATGTTCTGAGCATTCTTGTTTAGAACGTCAACATCGGCTGGTCATTCACACGTCATTCGTCAAGTTTCAACCAGCGTCGATGGCATAATTTTTTTTGTTCCAGCCGGGGGGGGGGTGGTGGGGTGAGCCAGTGTCGAGATTCATCGACGCGTGGGAGATCGGGTTTAATGGCTTTTTTTTTCATTTCGGAAGCTGTTCGGGCAAATCAATTAGGATGTGGGCATTTTTTGGGGGGATTTACGCGGATTTCAAAATTCCAGAAGTTGATGTGTTTTTAAGATTGTCTGGTCGGTTTAGATTAGGAAGACGTTTTTGGTCCTGTCGTATAATGTATGCTATACGAAGTGAGACCGTGATAAGAGGGAATTTATTAGGAAGTGCGAAAAGCTTTTATAGGACTCGGAGCAATTTTGAAAATTTTGTAAAGTTTACCGTTTCAGTGGTGGTAGTTAAACTTGCTCTTCAAACTTTTCTGTTTCGGCTATGCTATATAACCAGGCCCAGCCCGCCAGGACCCCACAAAATATCTATGTTACCCGGGTTTATTAGGAATGCGTGTACGTCATGTTGTAGCAGGTTCAGTAACGACAGAAACATGAGTCATCGAGGAGATGTTGGGAGCGGGGTCGTCACTGAAATCGATACAAAACGGCGGTTGACCTTAATAGAATGCTTTATGAATGTTTCCATGAGCTGAGGGAATTTTTGAACATTTGTAAATTTTGTTGTTTTAGCATTTTTGTTTGTACCCCACCCCCATTCCGTTTTCCACCCACCCATTTTTACTTTGCGAGAAATAGCAGCTTTTCAGTTTGTGATTTTTTTTGTTGTGCCATATCTCCGATGTCGCGAACTAGCCAGGATGAGTGAGGAATTTGCAGAAACGTTACTTCGTCTATTTTTACTGCGCATCTAGGGCTTCTATTTCTCAGCTTTGAGTACATGAAAGCAGATATCTGAGTGATTTTTCGCGAGCAGTTTGAAATGGCTGAAGCTCACTCTTGATAGCGCAGCTACCCTACTAATATTCGGACTACCCTCTGAAAACAGGAAATCAAGAGCTTGTTTTATTGAGATCACAATCCTGCAATATAACAATCAATTAACGGCGATAGCATCGATGGGAGGAGGCAGGGTGCCAAACTCAAGGATATTGGACACGGGACATTTTGGGCTGTGTTTGTTGAAGAATGAATGGGGTAGGTTTTAGTCGGACTTCCTAGGGAAGATTGGATATTTCGAGAAAGAAGGATATATTTCGAGGATATATTTTATGAGGAATTTCTTGGGATTTCGATAAAGTCCGGTATAGTTTTTAGGAGGATGGAAGTGAAACGAGCAATGGATATGAATAGTGGATGTGCTGGGGAGGTTGAGAGAGGAGAATGGAGGAATCAGCGTTAGAATTGACTTTTATTAACTTTTGGCCTTTTCCAACCAGTATAGACTTCAGAATAGTTCCGTTTATAACCCTGATGGAGCAAAGATTCACTGAGCTGACGTTTCAGCGTTATCGCCATCCTCACTGGACTGACGTTTGGGCGTTATCGCCTGGGAAGACAAGGTGCAGTCTATTTATGGCCTGATGTTAAGAAGGTTATTGAACTGAAAAATGACTCCTACTCGTTATTTGCCTGCACACCTGCAAGAAGGGGAAGC